AAGAATAATTTGAAACTCCTATATTCTATTTGTATATACAGTCATCCCAAAAATTATTTGTACAATTTAATTATTTCTTTGTATAAATTAACATTACAATTCGACTGGCTTAAATACAATTCTGCTCGCATATTCTATTAAAAAACGTCTGTATAACACTTTACTTTAAAACTAAAAAGAAATTATCAGTGTTAATAATAGTAAAGCTTAAAAATATGGCAATATTAAAGAGTAACTTAATAAATTCTATGTAGAAGAGCACTTAATGCACAAATAACTATAAAACAGTACAAAAATGTAATTTTTAAAACAAAAAAGGAAACAGAAACAAGAATAAAAGAAACTGGTTCATATTATAGAACTTGTATATGAAAAATAATTTCATAAATGACTTTCGAGTTCCTACGCACCACACGTGTTGCCGTGTTCGAAATTCTTGAGCGCCTCAACCGAACTGAATTTTTGAAAAATAAAATATAATACGAAAAAGAAAGTACTACAAAAGTGGACTTTAATTATGTACATTTCAGCTATAAATGAAGGACAACAAAAAAATTGCTGAAATCTCCATGAATCTTAAAATCATTTTAAGGGTAAAATTAAAAATCGCATTAATTGCAAACTTTGACAACGTCTTAATTCTTTCTATAAAATTCACTATAAACTATAAAATTCACTTTAAACTATAAAAAATTTTTTCGGACCCTCAAAAACTATGAAGATCTTAAAAACTTCTTAAACATCACTATAACTAGAAGCAGAATTATTCTTATTTTATAAGTCTGCCAATCGACATTACCAAAAATATTTCGTCTGGATTTTTTTTTCCAAAAAAAAAAGAACCGTCATCAAAGTTTCTTTGTCCTTGAAATTCTATTTTAAGAGAACTTTTACTTCATCTTTTTAAGGTTTTTTTTTTGTTATTTTCAAACATTTCTAACATCGTTTCGTATTTTGATTTATTTTAAAACATGTAATATTCATCACATTCTAATTTATTATGACAATTGTTACATATTCATTTATTCATATTATCTGGAGGCTTACAGCTATTTATCTTTCATTTTCCGAAAACAATTTATTTTCTCTGTGCTTATTATATTTGTTTTTTTTTGTTTTTCAAGTCCAATTTAATTTTAATAAGTCCATTTTAGAAAATAAAAATGGTTTATCATTTTAAAATTGTTGGTTTATTTTTTTTAATTAAATTCTTTTGAGAAAAATGCTTGGACGGATACCTTTGCAAAATCGAGGCAAACTTCGTCTTTATACTCTTTACAAATCACTTTAAATTCTCCCAGTTTTGATGTTTAAATAGTACTTTTGTATATTAAGACGGAAAAGCGTAGATAAATTGAAAGAATTCTTCTATGATAAATTTTTTTGGGATAACTTTTAAGAGTTGCCTGTGTAAGAGACTTGAATTATTTCAGATCACTTGCCATGTCTTCTGAATCAATTGCATATGTGCAGTTTTTTTGCATTTTTTTCTTGTCACTCTCAAAAACTGAGTCTTAAAGTCACTCTTAGAACGTGTTTTAGCTGATATCCTTTCAGAGGATGATTAACTATATAAGAGAATTGAGCTAATTTTGAAAATTTTACAGATTCTAAATTAAATCCTAGGTATTGTAATCGAATATATGGCAGAGCTATGCCTCTTCAGTGATTAAGGAATTAAAGGACAGCATAAAGTTTAAAACTTATTCACTGTTACGGGACGAACGACTGCTTGTTTCACTTGTTTTTTAAAATTTCTATTTAATTCTTCTTTTTCCTTTTGCTCATGTTGTTTCGCCTTTTCTCTTATTTACTTTAGGAATATTATGTTTTTTCCTCTGATTCTTTTTCTTTTTTATTTTTTCACTATATTAAACCATATTTCTTCATTAAAAAAAAATTTTTAAGGAAAACAAAATAAAAAACGAAAAAAATTAAATTGAAATTCTTTTCAAGATTAATTTATTTTTTTTTTTTATAATTTTTTTTTTTGTAAGTTTAGTCTTTCGGACAAAATTAATTATGAAAATGCGATAAAATAAAAATTCAGACTACTTTTTTAATTATCTTTTGTGATTTTCTAAATTGTTATTATGAGTTATTTAAAATTTCGAAAAGGAAAGTAATGCCTCCAGTTCTATTATATAAGTGGACAAACAGTTAAAAATTTACAATTGGTTGACGTTTTTATTAAATTTTAATAGTCGAGAAAATAAACACAAATTAACCATTAACGAGGACAAGTATTTTACGAAAAAAAAAAGAGAAAAACAAAATTATTTCTGCCAGTGTTTTGATGTTCTCTCAATATTGAATACGTACTCGTATGTAGTGGGCTGAGGAAAGCATCTCGTTAACACAAATTAATTTTTATTTATTTTTATTAAAAAACAGAAACAAAACTAATACATACTTAATAATTATAGGCCCATCTTTGAATAGAAATTGTATAACAAAACCTAATATAACAGAATTTTCTGATAGAGCGTACATTCAGGGTGTTAACAATCCAATTATATGCTGTTACAATAGTTAGCTCTAATATTAAAATTAATATTAATAATTAATTTAAATTACAGTATAACTACAAAAATATTTCTAAAGTATTGTTGCAACACTATCAACTCCTTTTGTGGCACAATTTATTGCTACAATTATTTACCATTTATTGTGAAGACACTAATCATCGTTGCAACAATAAAACGAAATCAAACATAGTACCGAATTTCGCTGCAATTTTTAGTTCAATCAAATAAAGGAGTACTGCCTAAAAAATTCTTTTAATTTTTAACAATTTAATTTGCAAACCGTGCAACGTCAATAGAACTTTTACCTTTACTTATTTAAAATTCAAATATTGAAGTTTTTTTTACTCGTATTAATTTTATTTTTATCCAAAAATTAATTTTCTTCATTTTAATTTTTCCAAAATAACCTTTGGGATAAAGATTTTCACATAATAAAAATATTTAATGAAATTTTGATCTAAAAATTTACCTTTGGATAATTTTAACTGCAATCTGAGAATGAAACTTTCATTTCATTATATATACATACATTTATACTTATTATATAAAATTATAATACAATAGAAACTAAAAGTTCATTCTGTCTACAGAGAGTAATTAAGATGTTCTAATTAGAAATTTTAGTATTTGTTGTTTGAAAGCATTATCATGTCAGTACACTCTCACTAGTTGCTATATTATAAATAACCATATGCATATAACGTACATCAGCTGTTAGCTGTCACATTGAAATAACTCAAAATTTTCATATTTGAGAAAAGCGAATTTTAAAGTTATGGAGTTGAATTTTTTTCTCGTTATAGCAATAGCGAGAAAAAAATTTCAAAGCTAGATAAAAGGTGTTTGATAAGAAATTTTTTAAGGGCTTATATAAGAATTTAGAAATTGCATTTCTTGAGTTATGCTGCTGTTCCAACATATGAGCAACATAATATAATTTTAAATTTAAATTTACTGAAATTATACAAAGAAATTTTTAATGAAAAATATACAAGAAAATCTCATTTTATATACTACACAAATATAACAATAATTATATTGCCATATATGTACATTGCATACATGAATGCATTATGCAGTAGTTATGTATAACATTTAATATGTATACTATGTACATGTAAAAATGTATAAAATTATAAAATTAAATATAAAAAATCTGGTTAAGTGTAAAATTAAGTGCATCGAGCTGATTCATCTATTGCCTAAGCCTTTATGATATTCGTCCAGCCTAATTAATTTATTCCAAATTTACAAGTTGAGCAGTTGTGCCTACCTCTGATGTTGAAAAGGAAGGTCATCGCGAGGGTTTTCTTTTACGATGACCTGGAGAACCTGCCGAAAGGAATGTTTAGCTCGTCTTTTGAGATTTGTCCAGGTGATTAACTTATGATCGGTAGATGATTTTTGGGATTGTGGTAAGTGGGGCTGTGGGATGTTAACTTGAGGGTTACTAATGGGACTTTTTGTTGGCCTAGTGTAAAGGCTTCGCATGGGTTGCCAGGTGGAGTCCTCTTTCTTAGTACTACTACTACCACAAGTTGAACGAACAGTAATGTATTACTTGAAGCATATAATATTTTTCCTAAGTTTTCTAAGTAATGGTTATACAACGAACCGATCACATTGTTACGAACTTATTTCTTTTTATATATATTTTTATCATACATTTTTCTACTAATTACACATAACATTTTCTACTAATAACAGATTGCAAACTGTTTTACGCAATACAACATTTATTTATGTTATACAGGAATAGAAAACATAAGAATATATACATACTTACATTACAATATATCATTTTAACAGTATATTTAATGCGTACAATAATTGAGCTTTGCGAAAAATCATGCTGTTATTTCAAAGTTTGTCAATTCCATATATTTTTTTGATAAAATTGCTACAAAATTTTAAAATGCTACGCAAACAAGGATAGTAAATGTTACGCAAGTAAGGAATGCACGTAAAATAAACGGACGAGTATATAAAATGGAATGCTCCGCAATATGTTAACGTCAATTTCAAACTGTTCCTAAATATGTGTGTAATTGACAGATTCAAAAAATATTTATTGCGTAGCTCAATATGTTAGAACTTTTCTTAGGCAATTTCAATTTGGACAGAAATTTGTTTGAAATATTCACGTAAAATTATGTTATTTATAGAATGTAAGAATTGACAATCAAAAATATTTTTGACTATATTTGCGTAATTGTATAATTGATTGTTAAATAACGGTCACGTTAAATTTACAATTAAGACCCAACATAAAATTTAAATATTTAACAGCTTAGTACAACCATATTACATAAAATATCAGAATTAAAGGCAAGGCATTAAAGCTATTCCATCTAAACCAGCTATTTTCAGAAAGGTGTATTAAATCTTCCTTAAAATTTTATATTGAAGTTGATTCTGGATGCGTTTCCTTTGAAAAGAAGAATGAAGGAAATGGAGAGGTTTATTTTTTCATATTTTATTTTTATGAATAACCTACAAATGTAAAAAGTGTATATTAATTTTAAATTATTATATTAACAAATTTTTAATTAAAAAAAATTTCAATGGAATTGAATTTTATGTCATATACATTAAAAATAAACGTAATTCCTTCAAAAAATTCTCTTTAAACATCTTCTTGTCTAGCTGGTGCATATGTATTTGTAGGATATGGTAGATTTGATGGTATTAATAATACCCATTTTCTCATACCAAAATAAAGGCCAACACCTAATAAAACTTGTAATATGGCCACAATACAAATTATTGCCCATGCTGGAATACCGAGCCCACCTAAAATAAACAAATTCATATATAAGTATAAAAATAATATTCTAATTTTATTGTGATTTATTTTAAAACTTACGACTATATGTTCGGGTAATTGTTCTTCGACCTCTAAGAACACGTCGTTTAGCTTCACTGTCTTCAATGAAACATGCCAGTAGTACTGCAAGTAAAAATAATAAATTTTTATATTTTGGTAATTTCTTAAAAAAATTCAATATTGTGTCTAGCAATGTGAATTGTAATCGACAGTAATTTTTAATTTAACGTGCATAATTTCATGTTTAAATTCATTGTACCTAATAAACTTGTGTTACACTTATTTTGCTTAAATTCACATATCACATTTGTCATAGTATTTTAATAGTATGGTAAACAAACAAAAAGTTCTGATAACGTGCGTGAAAAATATGAAATTTTTTATCACAGTGAAATACAGGGGTGTAATAATGATTCACAATTAAAAATTATTCCATACTGAGAAGAGTGTGAGAATTAATCACTAAGTCAACGAACACAAATATTTGAATTTGCCTGTTATTTTTGATTAAAGGGTATTTTGAGAGGCTTACTACTTTCCATAATCTCTAGCATGAAAATATAGATAATTCAACCGAATTTTGATATTGTGAATTGCAATCATTTTCATAATACTTTATATAATTTGGTTTAAAATAATTTAACCAGGCATATCTCTACTTAGTTTTACAAATTGTAACATTTATTAAGGCCACTGTGTTTCCATTTTAAATTTCGCTTTTACTTAGCTTAGGTATTTTGAAATAAATAAAGTGGAAGGTTAGCTTTGAAAAAGAACATTATAATCCATCGAAAGAGCAAGCTGTAATATATTTTTGGCAAAAGAACGATTAGGATGAAAACGACTCCTATGCCGTCTTTCTTTTGCTGTAATTTGTCCCAATTTGCCAGAAATTGATTTCACGTTTCGTTACAAAAAATTAAAAACTAAAATTAATTTGTTTTAATTATGTACTTAGCTTAGGTATTTTGAAATAAATAAAGTGGAAGGTTAGCTTTGAAAAAGAACATTATAATCCATCGAAAGAGCAAGCTGTAATATATTTTTGGCAAAAGAACGATTAGGATGAAAACGACTCCTATGCCGTCTTTCTTTTGCTGTAATTTGTCCCAACACTGGATGCAATATTGTTATTACATTATTACTCGTATACAGAAATTGATTTCACGTTTCGTTACAAAAAATTAAAAACTAAAATTAATTTGTTTCAATTATGTAATTTGAATTAAAATTAATGAAAACAAATAATTTAGTATTGTAAATTATCGCCTTCAATTTGAACTACATTAATATGTAAACACATTCTGTTAAAAAATTTACTTTGTTATTTTGCTATTTTATTATTCCGTATCTTTCTTATCTTGTTTTAGTTATGAGGGAATGTGACTCAGTAATCACAATCTTCACCTGTAATTATGACTCATAGTCTTATATGTAATGAAATTTTCAACTGCACTGTTTTTATGTAATATCAGAACATACATTGTATTTGTGTAATATTCACAAATATTTTAAATACTAATTAAGTAATTTTCTTAAATTCAATACTTTATACTAATAATATAAATACTAATATGTATACTAATTATACTAATTAGATTCGTAAATATGTGTATGGATTTTTACACATGTAGGGGTTTAATAATAATATGAATGGATACAATGACACTCCCTTAACAACTTTATTAATATTATCCACTAAATTTTATTTATTCAATTACAATTGAATAGAAAAAAAAAAACAATATTTAAAATTCATTACCAAGTGTTAAAATGAAAAATGTGTTTTTCTTTGTTATTAAAAACATTTTCAAATTTTTTTTTTAATTTAATTTAATTATTCCAAATTTAGACCGCTTCTCTATATATAATCGGTTCGATAACTAAAACAGTATTGGTTTTACGCTGATATGCTCTGTATGAAAAATTTTTTTTCTAAATAATCTTATCTTAACAAAATATTTTATCTTAATGCTAGATAAGATTTTTATTTTGGTATTTGCAGTTGACTTTATATTTTTGTTAAAGAAAGTTAAACGCACTTGTTTTCAATAATTTCAAGCGAGATACACATAAACCTTTCGAATATGAGCTTCCTTCTAATTTAGATTTAAAGTTCCAAAAAAAAATGATTCACCTGCTTAATATTCTTAATCTCTTTTTCGGGTAGTGTGAGAACAAATTTTCACAAATCAAAAACAACAATTTTTGATAAAAATTAAAACTAGTAAAGCAATGGTTTTGGTTTTAGAAATTCCTACCTTATTACAGAAAAATTCGGTATTATTGTTATCTTTTTTAAGTTATAAACAATTTTATTCGGACATGAAATTATTGTTTAAAATTTTATTACAAACACAAACCAATATATTTATTATTTTAATAATTTTTGAGTGTGCACTAAGTGATATCGTAAAATTTGTTCCACGAACAAAAATTTATTTGAAACAGTAGAAATGAAACTCACATCACACTAATTTTCAAATTGTTCCTACTGCTGAATGAAAAGTACATGGAACTAATCTAGAAAAAGGAATTTATATTGAATTTTGTTCGAATTTAAAACATAGAATTCATTTAGTACTACAGTGATGCCAACATAATATTTTTAAGAAATTTAGTATCGAATCCGATTGTACATGTAATTAGAAAACTTTAGTAGAGGAACAAATAAAATGAACTTTTCAGTTCACATAAACTTCTTTTCCTTTAATCGAAATTTCGTTAAATAATTTTTCGTTCCTACATTGTTTTTTGTAGGAAAAAAGGGATATGTAGGAAAACTTGGAATATAAAAGAATATTGTCTTCCTGTTCCTTGTGAAGCAATTTTTTTCTTTAATTTCTGACAATTCTTGTTAACTTTAATCAAATATTAAATATCCTAAAAATTTTATAATTTTACAACTCAAAGTTCCTTCAAATTAATATAGATGGCATAATATTTTCTTCGAATGAAAAAATTTAATCATTCCCTGCTCTCTATATCGTATAATATAGAAGAAAAAAATAAAATATTTTTCTTAAGTCAAAATATTTGAAAATTTTTTTTAACTTATTTTCGCATTGCACTTTATAATGTTAACTTTGGTACGGAGTTTGTAACCACTTAGAGGCGTTTTCTTTGGTATGGACATGTATTTATCTATATTATATTCATGCCCAGATAATTCAAAAAATAATGAAGCAAACATTATCAATATTGTACAGATTGCTTCTTTTCTACCAAGGACGTTCAGTTAAATATCAAAATAATATCTGCAATCATGAGGTTCTTGTACAATGGTTTGACAGGTTGGATTAACCGGCATACTTCATGGTAGCTAATTTACATTCTAAATATTTTGAAATTCTAAATATTTTAAAAAAAAGTTTTTACACTCACATTTTCAAGGCGCACAGAATAATTCGGTTGGTCCAAATGGTTCTTACTTAGACAGAGCCCTCAACCACAAGGCCACGAGATTATAAGTAAAAATAAAATGTCCAAATTTCAAAAAACAAAGAAAGAAAAGAATTTGAAAATTTCTATTATAACGTCGAAAACTTAACCTAGTACAGCATTTTGTACTCAAATTATATAAATGCCTTTCCTAATATATTTAACTCAACATCTCTACAAAAGCCATAAGCAAAATTACTTGAGTGAAATTTTGAATATCAAATTTTTTAAAGTTATTTTCCTTTTAAATAAACATTAGTATACGTGTATAGATTAGTATTGGTATACGTGAATTTTCCATAAGAAAACAATGTTAGACGCAATAGACCTTAATTTTGCAATATAATATGCAAATATATAAAAATGAATGAATTTACTGTACTTTTAAATGTAGACAACCGGAATGGTTTAATTGTTTTATGATTGTTATTAATTTTTATACATGATTTTTTTAAGTTGTTGAAGGTTGAGGAAATCTATAATATGTTAAATTATTAAACAACTTTTAGAAAAAAATTATATGTTATAAGCTTTACAGCTTACCCATAGCCACTCAGTTTTTTCATAGCAATTTCTAATACTCTTACCCCAGTTTAATTAATTGATATTAGCATAACAAATTTTATTAATAAGTTTAGGACAACATGCATTTTCATAATAATAGTATATACAAAATATGACAGATATACATTCTTTATTTACGTATGAACTCCATGCTACTGACTTAAATCACAAACAACTCAAACCAATAATAAAATATCTAAAAAATAATCTCTGCTCTTACAAGTTTTCTCAATTAAAGGTTTTATACAAATACAATTTAATTGCATATATGGCGGGTTAGATATAATTTTCAGGTTTGTTTTTATATACTCATTCAATTTTGTTTTATTTATACATAATTATGTACTGTACATTTACATCTATATGCATTTGTTATATTGTGTATTCACTTTAACATGAAGTCACTGAATATTAAATTTATATAAAAACATATTACAGCCAGACGCTCTTCTAGATCCCCGACTCTCTCTATTTTATTTATACGTCAACAATGTTATTATATTTACATGTGTTAATTCACAATTACATCTGTTATAATATAACAAAAAGAGTCTAATAGCCATTATTTTACTAAAAACTCCTGTTGTTACTTATATTTGCAATTGATTTATTGTTACATATAACATTTTGAGTGATTACTCAAAATCCTTTGAGTTGAATCATAATTATTGTGTACAATCATTTGAATGTCGAAAACTATCCTTCGGATCCGAATGCAACTCAAGAGAAATTATTCGGAGAGGAGAATGAAAGAGAGGGAAAAAAATGCAACAATTATTGTATAACAAAGAGAATAACTTTGAGTGATTTTCATTATAAAATATTTAAATTTTGAGTAAATTTTACGTTCTCCTGAATACAAAATAAGGTAGAATAGAATTTAGTCAAACAATGATAGTGTATCGCCAATATGTTAAAATTCAACAGACGCTTAAAGAATATTAAGGATAATAGATTTCCTTTTGTTTATTTTGTTATGCACCGTAATTATACGTAAAAATATTTTTGTAAACAAAAAGGATAAAGAAGGATTTATGTGAGAATCATGATTTTTTTTTTGTTTGCTTATTTTAGGTTGAAAATCAATTTATTAAAGAAGCAAACGAAATATTAAAGAAAAAAACATGGGTATTTTGATTTTCGAATTATAGTGTAAAAATTTAATTAACAACAAGTCTGTGATTTTAAAGAAAATTTTCGAATATTTTTATATTAAAAGGTGGGATTTAAATTTGAATTCTCATAATGAATCCTGATTTAGGTCAAATATGACAAAAAGTAGATTAAATTATAAAAATGGAATCTTACCAAATTCGCGAGTTTTTGCTTGTAATTACAGAAATCAAGAATTCCATATTTGTTATAGTCAAAAATTTATACCCTTCATAAATCCTAATATATGAAGAAACCTTGCGATTCCTTAGAATATATTTTTCTTGAATTATTTCATTTAAGAATAGGTTAACGCGCAAGTGTTTCCAGTATGGCTAATATTAAAAGAGTATGTCAAGTAGTGCAAAAATAAATTTAATTATTTAAAAACTTACGTTGATTCCCAGAGTATTACTAGTGAATAAAACGAACTTACTAGTTCGTTTATAAGGAATACTCGTAAGAACTAAGCGGGATGGGTCAAATGGCCTCGGACTCAATGTGTTAACATTATTGCAATTAAGCAATTTTCAATAGTTGTACATTAGTAAAACAATTAATGTTAATTTTTGATATCCACAGATATGGACAAGATGGTGAAACAATTACCTTCAAGCAGCTATGCCCATATCTTCTAAACCATGCTGTTTCAATTTAATTTCAATTATATATATTAAAGTTTAAGTTTAGGTTTAAGTTAACGCAGCTATCCGAGTCCTTACACCAAGTAGGCCCTCCATATTTCCACATTCACATGAACTCGGCGAGTCCTTTATAAACCGGTTTAGATTCCTCGCATTTACATTTACCAGGTCAATAACTCGCAAAAAGAAATGCGACCAATGAATATTGTTCGCCGTCTACATGCAAAAGCTGGGCATAAGCACAGAAAATTATTAAGTATATTTACTTATGTTTTAATTATATATTTTATAATTTAATATATTCAGAAATTAAAATTAAGATGTCATTTTTAAACATTAAAATAATTTTAATTTCTGAATATATTCCTGTGGAAAATTTCTTCTAGAAAAGTCTTTCCGAACAATTTATTACAATAATATTCTTAAAATGAAAATTCTTTTCAATTGTGACTTAAAATTATTAAAAAACTTTACGTTTTGAGTGAGCACATACCGGAATATCAAATTATTTATAATCCGTCTATATTTCTAATGACCTTAATTTTACCTAATGCCTTTATTTAAAATAGTTGAATTCCTAATTCCAGAATTTTCTTTAGAAATACATGTATACAAATTTATTGTATACTCTACAACATTTATATTCCTTAAGGATTCTTAATCCAACTTAAATTTAATTCTTAGAAAACGATAAAATTACTAAATTCAAAATAATCTAATTTATATAAATTTTCTCATGGCAAATTCAATTACTTTATATAACCAGATAAAATTTTGCAACTAAACATATACGCACACACAGACGTAAAAGAGAAAATCACGATACAATTTATATAATTTTGATTCCATTTTTAAAGTTGAAGATTTACCATATAAGTAAAATGTCCTTGAAAAAAATAATATCCTTGAATATTATTTGTGCTTTCCATTTTTACAGTTTTCCACACTTATGGTTCAATTTTATATATATGTAGATAATAATAGCGTTTAAACCACTTATTACATTCCATTGATAAGCGAAAATACATGTATGTGCACTTGTATATCGTGTATAAAAAATGAGAAATAATCGACTTTAAAAGTTAATTCCTTATA